CTCCCTGGATGTAATGGTGGAGCGCTTGTTGTAGTGAGCCAGACGAGACGCCTCAGAAGCAATGCGCTCGAAGATATCGTTGACGAAGGAGTTCATAATGCTCATGGCCTTCGAAGAGATACCGGTATCCGGGTGGACCTGTTTTAGTACCTTGTAGACATAAATGGCGTAGGATTGCTTCCTGGTCTTCTTCTTCTTCCTGCCGGCCTTGTTGGTTGACTTTGTGACGGCTTTCTTGGAACCTTTCTTGGCGGCGGGCTTCTGTGGTTCAGGCATGCTGGCTGTAGTTGTAAGAACGGCAACTCGATTGAGGTACAGATACGAGAGTTTGGTCGATTTATATTCGTCTCATGTAGATTTAGCTGCGCCAGCGCTACTTTTTCATTGGCTGAAACTCTCCTTTGAAAACGCGTCACTTCACTCGCAGGCGTTTAAAAAAAGGGGCGCGGCCAAGACCATCACGCTAACTTCATTTGCACGAGACCTTTTTGTGACGTTTCAATAAATGTATTTCTTGAAAATACACCGATAATGTCACAAAACCACACACTACTCTAGATTGTTTGGAGTTGCAATGTTATTTTTGTTCCAGATTACCAATTTGCTGCAACCTTTTAGTTTCTTATAGTAAGCTCTTTAGTCATCAACGTTTTAAAATTATCTTTAGTACGATGACATGTTTAGTGTAAAGTGCATTAATAAAAAAATGATATAGCTTCACTTTATTTCTTTCGTCGTATTGGTACAGGTGTGTGTTGTCAGCAAATAGTGGCTCTCAACACTGGAAAAGTAATTATTTTGGCACATAACACGAGTACAAAAAAACCGCTACACAAATTCAACATTTTGAAATCAAGACTTTATGGATTATTTTAAAAAGCAGTAATACAAATAGAGGTTCTTAGTTGCGCATAACTTGAACCCCATGTCTACACATTGATTTAAAAAAAAAAAAGAATATCTTCGTCAAATCTGCACCACTGGACAATTCCAAGCATCATTCTGTCTTGATTATGAAAACATGGTGACAGTAATCCAATCGCTCAATTGTTTTATTGAACAACAGTTAAACAAATTTCAAACGGAACTTATTGCTGCCTTCCTAAGATTGCATTTTTCATATAGCCAAGTC